ATACTCTGCATTCTCAGCTCAAATTTGGGGGTTGTTTGAAGTTAAATTGCTTAAATGTTGAGGTAAAAATAAACATCTGTGTTTAAAATTTAATAAAAAGTTATGTCTTCTTGGGGGTCACAATATGACAACTAATAATTGGGGACTTTTTCTTTTTTTATTTTATATTTATTTTATTTATTTTTTGCCCCCCAAAATGGAGTCTTGCTCTGTTGCCCAGGCTGGAGTACAGTGGTGTGATCTCAGCTCACTGCAACCTCCCTCTCCCAGGTTCAAGTGATCTCCTGCCTCAGCCTGTAGAGTAGCTGGGATTACAGGTGCACACCATCACACCTGGCTAAGTTTTGTATTTTTAGTAGAGAGGGGGTTTCACTATGTGGGCCAGGCCAGTCTTGAGCTCCTGACCTCAAGTGATCCACTTGCCTCTGCCTCCCAAAGTGCTGGGATTACAGGCGTGAGCTACCGCGCCCGGCCTAATATCTTTAATTAATATTTTACTTAGGGGAGGTGTCTAACCACCAGCAATAACAGATGAGTTTCCATTTTTTCAAACAAGGTAATAAGAGACCTTGATCCTGCCCATGTAATCGTTAGCATATGTTGGGAGACCAGCAGGCTGGAGCTAAGCAGGGAGTCTGTGAAGAGAGCAAATTAATCCACACTTGGGATTCTAACCTATAACGTTTACCTAGCACCAGCTCTGTTAATTAGTTATCAATTTTAATTACCCAGAAGAACACACACATCTGTAGGCCTGCTTCATAAATGGTAGATCAGTAACTGACCACACTGCAGCAGTGTGTCAGCAGTTGAGAAGTGTTTTGATCTTCAGGCTCTGCTCTCTCTCTAGTAGCATGAGCTAGCAGTAGCAGAGCATAGGAGAGCTCCACGGAGATCCATATTCAGACTCTGGAGACCATGACAAAATACATTTCATATTCCAAACTAATATGTAAACTGCCTGTTTTTTTTCTTTTCAGATTTCCAGAAGCTGTTCTGTCAATAACAAAGTCTCGAGGAAAACCACAAAACCACCAACACTAAGATCATTCTTGAGTCCACTTTGAAAAAGTAGGGTCAAATTCTGCAGAGGCATTCAAGGGACAGGATACCACCCTAATGCCCACTGTGTGAAGGAAAACGCTCTATTCACTGTTCCTCAGCTTCTGCTTCTGCTTTCAGAGTTCTCTCTATATTGGAGGGTGTTTTAAAGCTAGAGTGGTCTTTATCCACTTCTATTAACACATCTGAATGTGAAGGTCAAGAGGAGAAAGTGACATGTCCTAAGTCAGAGTAGTGTGAATAAGAAAATAAGGCAAACAGCGACTGAGTCCCTGGTGTATACCGGGCATTAGCAAGCTACTGGGGATATGGAGATGAAGAAAATGTAATCCCTTCTTCAAGGAGCCCAATCTACCAAGGTAGACAGACATATAGACAAATAGATTATATACTTGCATAGAAAAAAGAAAGAGGAGAAGGGGATCGGTGTGATCTGTGTAACTAAGTACCCTGTACAACCCTCTTGGCCACAGATCATATTGCCCTTTATAGCGGGGATGGTAATCCCATCTCCGAATTCCACATGTACTTTGCAGGCAGACCACACCCATGTGTGGGTCCTGACTCTACCATTTATAAACAGCATCACTTTCAGCAATTGTCAGCCCTCCAAGCTAGGGTCATTGTCAATAGGGATACTGCTTCCCAAGCATCAGAACACCAAAGGAGACTGTGTGGGTAAAAGCAACCAACACTGCTCTGGCGGTTCATAGGTGCTTAGAGTTTCCAGCTTTCACTTTCAGTCTAATGCAGCACTGCCTGCTTTTTGTTTTTGATGCTTAGTTTGTTTTTTTCTTACCGTGTTCACCACACTTGTGTCCAAATAGCTTTGGGCTGATGCAAAAGTGTCTATGTGGAAGAGAGAAGGAAGAGTTGTTCTCGTGGAGGGCCTTCAGATGAGTGCTATAGACTCTAGGCAACTTTCAAAGAGGCTTCTCAAGCAGGGTGGGCAGTGGGAGCTGCTATGGAATCAATGGACAAACATTGACAGGGACTGCTTTGAAAGACAGTACTCAGTTGAGTATACTCTGTTAAGGGCTAAAACTTTATAGTCAGCCCTTAAACACTGCCTGATGGAATCTTCAGGATCATATTTTGAAGTAAACTATATTTTACAATGTGATATAAATCAAATGAGTTTTTTTTTTAAATTAGGAATTTCCATAAGTACAAAGCCATTTTAAGGTGTACATTTTAGAGACTAGCTATTATTAAGTGGTCTGTGCATTTGTGTAAACCATAAAGATGTTTCCAGAGAAAGCAAGTCTCATACCAGAATATGAAAACGCCCCAGCCCCAGGCTTGAGTAGCCTAGATCACATGAAGCTGACTTCCTCTGAGGAGTCTAGGACCTCAGATATAGGTGGGAGCACACAGTCACCCTTCTGGAAACAGCTAAGACTTGCAGCTCAGGCCTGTGACCTTGCTGATGACAAAGGAAGAGGTCAGGGTTGACTAGAGCTCCAGAAAGAATGCAAGTGCGTCTGGAAGGCAGGAAGAAAGTTACTGCAATACTTTATCCTCAGGGTGGAACGAGAGTCTGGGAAAGCTGTGCCCACTTCCCCATTCCTCCCAGGTCCCAGGTGTATAAGGAGAGTTGGCCCAATCTGGGAGCTAAGGGACCTGAGACATCTACTGCATCAGTGCACTCAGAAATGAGGATTTTGGCACAGTTATTCATGAGACATCAGCCCATGATATAAAACATGCCTCCAGTTTGGTTAAACTAGGAAGCACTATATAACATTTTAAAATCAGTTACATGTCACTGATAAAAGACTTAATACTACCCTGACGTTATTTTTCTTGAGGCAACGTAAAACCCATTGTCTACAAAAAATCCAAAAATTAGCCAGATCTGGTGGGCACCTGTAGTCCCATCTGCTCGGGAGGCTGAGGTGGGAAGACTACTTGAGCCAAAGAGGTAGAGGTTGGAGTGAGCCCAGATCATGCCACTTGCACTCCAGCCTGGGCAACAGAGTGAGGCCCTGTCTCAAAAAAAAAAAAAAAAAAAATGAATTTATGAAAGTTTGGAGAACCAAGAATAAGACTGGGTGGGAACTAAGAATGACAGGTACTTTTAACAATACAGCTGGGGTGGTGTTGATGACATGAATGAACCCCAATCTTACTGTAGTCATTTGCTCAAGATTCGAAGTCATGAAAAAGTAGAATGGACCAAACTTAGGTACTAGGAGTCCCCGGCCCAGCAGTGAAAGCAGTATATAGTTCCTTTGACTTTAATATGGGGAGACAGGTTCCTGGATTGACAAATCTCATCAAAAGTAGACCCAATTGTTTTTTTTATTTTTTCTCAGACCTCTCAGGGATGAATATATACAATTTCTGAGAAAGAAACCTGAGTACCTTTAGGAAGGGAAAAGGAATGCTGAATATCCCTAAACAACAAGTTTATTGCATATTTGGTAAGACTTACTATACCCTATCCTGGAAGATAGAAGATACCCTGCCCTTAGAAGACACAGAGACTGTAAAGCTATGCCTTCTGAATCTTAAGCCACTCTTTAGGTAATGAATCCCTTCGTAGTCCAAACAGCTCAAGAACTCTCAATTTGTACCATTTGCCTTTTATTTTCCATTTATTTAATACCACAAATTCACTTTATTATTATGAAGCCAATATCTACATCTCACAAAGATTCTCATGAGAAACGCAGAACTCCTTACCAGCCTCAAAACGTACTGTGACATTTCCATAACCTACAGGTCTAGAAATCCTATGCCAAATATGGTTAATTTGTTTGCTGAGAAGGATGTAGAACTGGAACCCTCATACACTGGTGGGAAAACAGTCTGGAACTTTCTTAAAACATACTGGTAAATGGGGCCCCTGCAAGCTAGAAAGTGTGGCTATAATCCCTGGCTTTTTTCCTTTTTTAAACTTTTTCTCTCTCAGTCCTGACCTAAAGATGACCCTAGTCAGGCCGGGCACGGTGGCTTATGCCTGTAATCCCAACACTTTGGGAGGCCAAGGCGGGCGGATCACCCGAGGTCGGGAGTTCGAGACCAGCCTGACCAACATGGAGAAACCCTGTCTCTACTAAAAACACAAAATTAGCTGGGCGTGGTGGCGCATGCCTATAATTCCAGCTACTCGGGAGGCTGAGGCAGGAGAATCTCTTGAACGCGGAAGGTGGAGGTTGCAGTGAGCCAAGATTGCACCATTGCACTCCAGCCTGGGCAACAGCAGCGAAACTGTCTAAAAAAAAAAAAAAAAAATTACCCCTGAGAGAAAACCTGTCTTTCCAGCCAGAGGAAGCAGGAAAAAATGACCCTATGGTCTGAAGAATGTAGAACTAATCCATCTTTTTTTTCCCCCTTTTCTGCTTTCTGCCTGAGGGGCATTCCTTTTGGCAAAATGGAAAGTGGGCAGGTAATCCTCAGAGAGAAAGCCCATCCTTCTAAGCCAGAGGATGAGGAAAAGGGGCCCCCTGGGTGCCAGGGAGTCTGGGGGGAAATCCTGAAGGGCAAAGACCTGAAAAGAGGATTCTCTTATTCTGTACATGAGCAGAATTCTGTGCTCAGCCCAGAACTGCACATACCAGAGGCAGAGCCCAAGCAACACAGCCACGCTCTGAACTGACGCTCGGATCACCGCTACCAAACAGAAGGCAACACAGGACCTGCGGACTCAGGCTAACGAGGCTGACTGCCCCACAAAACAGAAAGAAAAGAAACATTTTTCAGGGAATTGTAGCAGAGCACAGAGGCTCCCAACATAAAACACAGTCCTCACTTTGAACAGCAGTCAGAACTGTAAAAATGACCTTCCAACCTGAAACTGTGCCATGTGCTGTGAATAATCATTAATGGGTAAAATTGTGATTTTTTCCTGTCTTTTGAAAATTGTCAAAACATTGGTAATCTTGTACTGTTAGAAATGTATAAGGAAACAATAAAGTAAATATTTTTGTACACCGTAATTTAAAACATTAGCAACACTGGGAATTCAAGTGTTTGATGTCTTCCTAAAAACCATCAAGGAACAGTGCTTGCCTTCTTCAAAAGTCATGTACCTTATGATATGCAGCGAGCACCTTTTCTGTGTTTCAAAAACCTGTCATGCCCCTTCTAAGTTTGGATCAGCCTCTAATATTTTATCCTTTCTGCTTTCAATGTCATGAAATATCTCCAAGTCCGTTCAACATGAAGGTTTTTGCTGACGTTCCTTCCTCTGGGACATCATCCTTTCCATCACAACCGCATTCTTCATTTATTGGATGAATTCACCTTCTCGGCAGCAGTGCCAGCATCCCATAGTCTGTTTCTTCAGTGACCCCGTTTATGTTTGATTTCCATTCACTTTCAGTGTTTTCGGTTTTGAGTTTCTTTGCTGCGCTTCTATCTTTATTTGTCCATTTTCTCTTTTGAATATCCATTTGTGTAAAATGCCATGTGGGTTTATCACTGGGAGACAAGGAGGCCACACAATTCATACTTCGCTGTCTGCGCATGAACTGAACACAGACGCACGGTGACCAATCACCCACAGGTTTTGGAAAGAAGAGACGTGATTGGTCACTGATCATGATGTACCTTTGTTATTATGTAGTGATTTGTGGACTGGGGAGCTAGCAGAAAGTTTGAACTTCATGCAGTTACAGTTAATATATTCTGGTAACTCAAATTTGAACCATGTTGTCACATGTTGTCAGGCAACGGGTGTTCACCATAGTAACTAAAATTTCAGAATCGTGAAATGTCACTTCTGATCTATTCATTAAAAGTCAGTCACTCATTCTGGCTCACACTCAAGGGTAAGGGAATTAGGCCCCAGCTTCTGAAGAGAGGATCTCCAATGACTTTGTGGACATATTTTCTGATTCTTCAGGAAGTCCATATTCCTGAAGAATATTGGCACTGGGTATAGAATTCTGGGTGGATGATTCTTTCCTATGAGTGCTTTAAAGATATTGTTCCACTGCATCTTGGCCTACACGATGTTTTGTTATATGTCTGAGATAATCTGCAATTTGAATTGTTGTTCCCTATACCTAATGTATTGGGTTTCTTTCTGGCTACTTTCAGGATTCTTTAAATCCTTGATTTTCAGCAGTTCAATTATGTTATGCTGAGCATCTTGTTTAGATTTTGCTGAGTTTCTTGAATGTGTATTTCTATTGTTTGTCAAATTTAAGAAGTTTTCAGCAATTATTTCTAAAAACTTTTTTTGTGTCTGCACCAATTTCTCTTTTCCCTCTGAGACTCCAGTGTCAAATATATGTGATTTTCTGGTGTTGTCTCCCAGGTTCCTGAAGTTCTGTTCATTCTGTTTAATCCATTTTCTCAGTATCCTCTGTTTAATTTCTGCTGATCTGTCTTCAATTGACTGACTCTTTTGTCATTTCCATTCTGCTACTAAGTCCATCCGTTACATTTTTTAACTTCAGAAATATAATTTTTTCAGTTCTAGAATTCTCATTTGTAATTTTCGTAGCTTCTGTGTCTCCATCAAAAACTTCTCTCTCTCTCTCTCTCTCTCTGTCTCTGTCTCTCTCTCTCTCTCTCTCTTTCTTGTGGAGTCTCACTCTGTCACCCAGGCTGCAATCTTTACGCACTGCAACCTCTGCCTCCTGGGTTCAAGCAACTCCCCTGCCTAACCGCCCAAGTAGCTGGGATTACAGATGTGCACCACCATGCCCAGCTACTTTTTGTATATTTTTAGTAGAGACAGGGTTTCACCATGTTGGCCAGGCTGGTCTTGAACACTCAACCTCAGGTGGTCCACCCGCCTTGGCCTCCCAAAGTGATGGGATTACAGACATGAGCCACTGAGCCTGGCCCTTTGTTTTCATCTTAAGAGAATAGTTATAAAAGTTGTTTTAAGTTGTTGTCTGATGATCCAACATCCGAGTCATTTTTGGAATGACATGTGTTGGTTGTCTTTTTCCTTGTGAATAGGTCATACTTACCTAGTTCCTTGAGCATCTAGTAATGTTGGATCGTATTCTGGATGTTTTGAATACCAAGTCCCGAGAGTCTGCAACTTGTTAAAATCCCCTGGAGAAGACTGATTGTAAGCAGACAACCAACTCAGTTAAGTTCAGATGACAAACTGTCTCCCCTTCTGTGGTGGTCCCAGTGGCACCTCTTCAATTTTCAAAGACT